TGTATTTACCTCGGATTTCTTACCAACTATTTTATCACTGCCTCGTTACCCTCATTGAGTCTGCCCTGCACCAGTCCACCCATATGCCAAATATGTATCAATTATCAGATTAAATGTCTTGCTGCAGGTCTTCCTGTCAATGGAACCCCACAACGTCTTTGTCTTTCAGTGTAGCAGGAATAATTTGCTGTTTAATTTGAGTTAACGTTCTGAAACCATAACGTCGACACATGACCACACCCTCCTTCGTTTTAACAGTTCCCAACACATTACTCTGTATATCAGTACCTTCATATGTAAAACAACAATAGATATATGTGCGATAGGTGCCTGTGCTTAACGTCATGTGATAACAGGGCAAAACTCTCGCTGTGCAGTCCGTGTGTATGTAGTTTTGCTAGAGACGGATACTGAATAAATACCCATGCGAATTCTTTGGTACACATGTATATTTACGAATCAATTTTGTACTGCAGCATTATAGCTTAGCAAGTGAAAAAGTGTCATGACTAGATTTATAGCGTAATAGAGTTTTCGTGCTATTTTAGCCTCTGACTCCATTACACAATGTTTTTTGGCCCAGAGTGGTACACATGTAGGTTAGAGAACGCTGACCCAGTTAGGTGTGTGACTGTTTCACGTACTAGAGATAAGGATCTGTTTGCCCTGGGGAGTATTCATGGAATCTGTGGGACTTTCAGGAGCGAGGGTGGGGGCCGGGTTTTATGGTGGCCGAGAGGGGACATCGCTTTCTCGCTTTCTCGCTCGATCGCATTCTCGCTTTCCCGCTCGATCGCATTCTCGCTTTTCTCGCGGTTATGCAATATCCCCTCTTGACAACTATAGGGGCCGCATGTGATATCTGCTGCAATTGGGAGGGAATGTTGAACTTTTCTCACTATTTACTTAAAACATAATTTAATTACAGACGTAGGTGCGTTTAAAACAATCCACAATTGTGAGTTTTGCGTAAAATGTAATAATTATTGATTGATTTTCGGCCCTTTTCAGTTGTATGTGACTATCACGCCGAAAACGTGTGGCAGATCCTGGCAATACGCTCTAAATAAATCAGGTTAAAATCTGAATACATACTTTTCAAAAGAAGTTAAGAAGACTATGGTTAATTAGTCATGGCTGATTGTTTTTTCAAAAATACAATCATATAATTGTGGGTGTTCTATAACTTGTTTTCGGCAGTTTATCATATTACAGTGTGTCATACTATTGTCCGCAAATATTCTTTTTGACATTTGATGTATGTTTAATTTGAATTATGTTTCTTGTCTTGTGCAAATCTACAAGTATATGTACTTGCATATAGTAATTTGATAAAAACCGCTGTAAGTGAGTGAGAATGGTTTCACGTCGCTTTTAACAATAATCCATTAATATCACGGCGGGGAACACCAGAAATGGGCTTCACACATTGTACCAATGTGGGGATTCGAACTGGGTCTTCGGCTTGACGAGCGAACCCTTTAACCACTAGGCTACCCGACTGCCCCCATCGCTGTGGCGTTACAACAGTTGATATGTGTACTTGTGTAAACTACACATATGGAGAGACAAAATAATTAGTGTGGCCACACAGTTAACGTTGATAACAATATGAAATGCATTACAATGGTTATCTATAACATATGTCAAATCAGCTATTATTGGAATATATTATGTATATCTTAAGTTTAGTTTTGTCAAAATTATGTATGTGTGTGTTTGTGTGTGTGTCTGACTCATTGTTTGTGTAAAATGTAGTAGATAACTACATAACTCACATCAGAACGCATAATTGTTAACCATACAGTTTAAATGGATAGAAAATTGCTACATAAATATGTATATTCCTGCCTGAGCCTATACTATAATTGGATATCTAGTCTCCCCTGGCAGGAAAGTTAAACTTTATTTTACAAGCACCTTAGCGTTAAATTTATTTCCTGAAGACAGTTTGATCGAAGGTAATTATCAGATACGAGTTCTTTTTAAATAATATTTACTACTAAGGCAAAGACACGTATCTTATCTATCTGTGTTTTGTTAGGGAAACATAACTGTGTACATGTATAACTTTTGTCTGCATAATGTACATGCATCTTAATCAATATAAATGTTATCCCGAAATCGTACGAGCACATATTCGGCTTCAACTGCAAATCTAACGACCGACAAAACAATAAAACAATTTCTTTGGACGTTGCAAACAATTATTTCTTCCAGTTCAATTTATCCTTAAAAGTTTTAAGATTGATGGAGGAATATGATTATATGGGGAAGGGGCGGGGACCGGGGGGGGGGGGGGGGGGGGGGGGGGGGGTTGTGTGTGTGTGTGTGTGTGTGTGTGTGTGTGTGTGTGTGTGTGTGTGTGTGTGTGTGTGTGTGTTATGAACAGAATGAAAATATGAACAGTGACTATTCTGTTGTAGTCTGTGAATTTTGCTTGTTTGGTACACTACAAGTAAAAATAGACACGTGTGTATATACAAGCTAAACGAGAAGAAGTTCTGTTTGTATACTGAACAACAAAGGTTCCTGTGACATTGAATGAGATTTAATGCAAAGTTATGTTTTTTACCAAATCTGAAACAATTTCGGTTTGCAACAGATAAAAGACTCCTGTTCAAATGGTTTAATTTGCCATACTGACCAAAAAAACATGTCAATTTACAAATCTATAGCGTGTGTGTCCACCTCTGGTTGCGATGCAAGCAACACATCTTCGTCTCATGGAATGGACTCGGCGTCGCGCAAAGTCCTGTGGGATATCTGTCGTTATCTGCTGGAGCATGTTTCGAAGTTCCTGGAGTGTCTGTGGAACAAGTGGTTGACGTCGAAGGCGCCGATCCATCTCATCCCACATGTGCTCGATTGGTGAGAGATCAGGGGAGCGAGCCGGCCAGTGGTGGACATGCACGTTGTTTTGTTGAAGGGACTCCTGAACCAGTCGAGCAATATGAGGCCGGGCGTTGTCATGTTGAAAGGTAATGCCTGGGCCATGACGTCGCAAAAACGGTTGAACAACAGGGCCGAGGATCTCGACGCGGTAGCGCTGTCCATTGAGATTTCCCTCTACCACTATCAAACAGGTCCTCTGTCTTGCTGTAATCCCACCCCATACCATAACGCTGCCGTCCGCGAACCGATCTTCTTCCACGACACAATGATTGACGTAACGTTCACCTCGACGTCGGTACACTCGAATCCGTCCATCGCTGTGGCTGAGATGAAAACGAGACACGTCAGTGAGTAGAAATTGTCCCCACTGCATGGCCGTCCAGCGTAGACGCTGTCTGCACCACTGAAAACGTGCTTGGCCGTGGTTTCCTGTCAAAATGGGACGTCTTCTGGCGGGTCTCCTGCCGACAATCCCTGGACATCTGAGGCGACGACGTACGGTTTGTGAAGATATTCGTCGAAGGCCAGGGATGCTTCTTGCAGTCACTGTTGCTGGCTGGAATCGATTTCGTTGGTGTGTTGTTCGAATCCAGTTGTCTTGTCGATTATTGGTATACGCGTGGCCTGCCACTCCGAGAATGGTCTCTGACTGCATTCGTCTGTTGCAAACGCTGCCTTAAACACCAAAATGTTGTTTCTGTTGACGTTAAATTGTCTTGCAACATCACGTTGACTCGATGTTTCAAGCATACCGATGGCTCGCAGACGCTCATTTCCGGACAGTCGTGGCATTTCGTAATATTGAATAATTTCGTAATTTTGTTGTTTTTCTGACTGGTTGTTGTCAGCACGATGCTAAACAATGCATATGGAATTCCGTTAACGCACATGCTTTTATATCCATTCATGGGCAGAGAAATGCATGGGGCTTGCATAAAAGTGAACTTTTGCATGGAATGCATGCTTTTCTGTAGCAGTTGCGTTTTTGTGACTTGATTCCTGAATGTACTACAATATTGAAAACCAAACTTTACTTGTTTGAAAAATACACTAAAATATTGGTGTCACAGGAACTTTTGTTGTTGAGTATATTTGTAACATATTTATCTACTACAAGATGTTAGGGAAATCTAATTATAAGAGGCAAATTAGCGGTGAGGAATGGGTCACTGAACATCAGCAATAACTGTTTTAATGTGCGGGATTATGGGAAATATCGCTATCTCGCTCTATCGCTTTCTCGCTTTCTCGCTCTATCGCTTTCTCGCTATATCGCTTTCTCGCTCTATCGCTCTATCGCTTTCTCGCTTTCTCACTCTATCGCTTTCTCTAATGACTAACCATAGTCATATGAAAGAATGGGTGTTCTTAAATTTCTTTTGAATAGTATGTACTGTAAATCTTGAAATTAACGTTAGAGTTAATTATAAATACAAAAAATGAGAGTTGACTTAATTAATTAAACTTTGCATTTACATGTATGTCACGGAAATGACTGTTGACAAAACGGCCTCACTGCACACTTTGCATAGCGGAAATACCAACTTGAATATAAAACCAATCAACTATATATTTCCACATTACGGTTACTGAGAACAATATGTCATCCAAAAACTAGAAATTACATAATGGACATCCGGTAGTATTACTATTTCTTGGGTGAGGACTTCCACTTTGATGGCATCTACTCCGCAAACAAAATAAACATTGATATAATCTAAGTGTTGTTTTTAGGAAAACACTATTGTTTTTTAGGAAGTACTCTACTCAGAGCTAATGAGCGGTGTTATTTGCTTTTGTTTTGATAACTTGGCCTGGGGGCGGGGGATCCAATAACACTCCTAAATAGGGCCATAAATCAATCAAATTCTTTTTTACGCAGAAATCCGTGGATTGTTATAAAAGCACCTACGTCTGTACCGTTAATATATGTTCAAGTAGATAGTGAGAAAATTTCAACATTCCATCCATATGTATAATTTGAAATGTGACTGGAAAAATCTCAGCTCTCTTTTCTGATTAAAACCCACATCAGCCTCCGCTCCCTGAGGTCAAGTTTAACAATTCATTAATGTTGTTTTACGTATATACTTTTTATCGTATAGAAACACATCACACCAGCAAACACACCAGCATTGGTGCCACCAGCAGTTTAGAAGAGCCGTTACTGTATCTCAACAGCAGATAGCAGAGAGAGAGAGAGAGAGAGAGAGAGAGAGTCTGGCGACGCCCTGGGGAACGTTATTCGGATGCTTGTGTTGTTGAGAGAGACTCGTGGGGTGGTCCGAGCATCATGGTGCATTGTGGAATTGGTCTTGCACAGAGGGTCGGCCCTGTGGTCTTCCAGAACATCGGTCCAGGGAGAGGCAATGGTGTCACAGCAGCTCGGTACATTGATCAAGTCTTGAGACCACACGCCGTACCTCATTTGGCACGTCGCCGCAACCACGAGTTTTAGCATGATAACGCCCGTGCCCACACTGCGAGAGCAACAAGAGACTTCCTCCAGCAGAATGGCATCAGAACCATGCAGTGGCCTGCCCTCAGTCCCGATTTAAATCCCACTGAGCACTTGTGGGACGAGATTCAAAGACGGGTGAATGACGTTCGACCAAGGCCGACAACTGCAGCTGAACTGCGTCAGGCGTTCCTCAGAGTGCGGGCTCAAGTGCCTATGGCCTTCATCAACCGCCTCATTCGTTCCATGTATCGACGTTGCACGGCAGTCACCAATGCAAATGGCGGACACATGAGATACTGACTTGTGATGCCATTTTCTCAGAGACTAGTTTTGCAAAGTTTCATCTTTTTAATACCTCTTAAAGTATGTTTACAGTGTTTGGACAAGTAAGGTTTCTCATATATCTATCCATGGTGACGTTTCTTTTGCGGTTCAGTATTTGTTAAGACACACACACATACACACACACACACACACACACACACACACACACACCCCTCCCCCCCTCCTCCTCCCTGAAAACGGCATTGTTCCGATAATTACATTTCTATGGTGTTCAGAAGGGTGGCCTGGCTGTGATGGCAGGTGGCTGTAGCCAGTGTTTCAAATAGTATTTATTTGCATCTTCATTGATATGCTGAAGTGTCTAATTGATATCTGATGAATGTTATCAGTATACTAGCGGGAAAAAGCTCTTGTACATCACTGACTATCTTGGGAAATACTACATGTCCTCTGTAGACGTCACGCCAGGCATGGGGTCAATTGTCAGAACACATGTCAGTGTCTAGCCTAGTAACAATCATACATAATTCTGAAAAATCCATTGCACTAATATTTGTATGTGTTTTGTTATGTGCACAGGAATTTGCTTCCGTATATAAACATTAAGGCATTGATAAAAAATTTAAATCTATAAATTGTTTTGGCTGAAATATTGTCGATGGGACGTTACGCCAATCCACCCACTGATTACCCCATGCAATAAGACTATAGACTCCAACTGTGTGAGTCACCCCTGCGTGATTCAAGTGTAACATGTATCCCGGGCCATTTTAAATTTGCAAGTGCGATTCGGCCTATACAGTGCATTTCCCGGGGCAAAGACACTACTATAGGACGAAGGCATGTTGAACGTGCACCTAAACATTATCTGTCCACGTTAAAGGGCCTGTCAGCTCCGATCAAGAACCAAATATTTTGCTGTTTGTTCGTTCTTTCCCGACTTCCACACACACATGGATGTACATTCTATGTGTGTTTGTTTGTTTGTTTGTTTGTATCCCAGCTATATGACGGCTGTTTGTAAATAATCGAGTCTGGACCAGACAATACAGTGATTGACATCACGAGAATCAATCTACGTAATATGGGATACGGAGCATCAGCGAGCCTGACAACCCGATCCCGTTAGTCGCCTCTTACGACAAGATCTGAAGATCTATTCTCAACCCTGAGTAATTTCAACGTTTAGAATATTAAACGTTCTCCAATTAACAATTACATAAGAAGGGTCCAGGTCTCTATGAACGGGAACAGTCTCCTGCCTTGTTGTTTTACATGTGTTTCTTTCATAATTTTCCTTGAAGTGGTCAATACCCGTGTTAACAAATTATTATAAGTTGAAAGTTGAAATTTAGGGTATTATAAATTGAAATTTCAAGTTACATAAGTTGAAATTTCAAGATAATGCGAACCCGGAATACATTTCTATATTGTACATGTGTTGTTGGTTCTTTACACTGGTGAAGTTGTGAACACGCAGTACTGGTGACAAAATGTCAACTAAACAGTATCTTGAAATTTCAAGTAGAAGTTAAATAGCAAATGGCCCTAAAATGCCTCTGTAACTTACACATGTTTGGCTACAAAATAAGTAAATGAAATTAATGAGCTCACTGACTTCCATTTACAAGTCGTCAGTTATTGACACTTAATGAAGTTGGAAGTATATTGGTTATTGTGAAAAGCTGTTTGCTATTGTGAGAGAGGACTCCCTGCAAGTGAAAGTGACAGGACGAGGCACATGTCTTGACTGCATAAACAGCCATGAGGCATAAAGTCTAACAGCCTGCGTCTGTCACCGTCGTATCCTGTTGTAGCTCGGCAGATGACGCAGTTGACAGTTTAACAGCTGTCACAGGGGCCGTCTCAAGCATACCTCCTGACCATGTGGACAGAACTAAGAGAACAGGAGCTTCGTCGTCTATATTTTACCATGCCAACGTCTACGTGTCTTTTTGTTGAATTCTGGGTGAATATGCAAGAAGCTTCGTAGAACAGAATCATTGACCATTATACAAGCTATGGATTTAGTGAGTGAATGAGTGTGTATGTTTTTACGCCGCTTTTAGGCATATCACAGCGAGGGACACCAGAAATGGGCATCAAACATTGTACCCATGTTGGAAATCGAACCCGGGTCTTCGGCGTGACGAGCGAACGCTTTAACCACTAGGCAATCCCTACGCCCCTATTAGCAGTTGAACAATATTGGATATGGCCAATATTGCAGTTCAGTCTGGATTAAAGGAACTGTTACTGTATTCGAGATGTGGTCATCATCAACTACTTGTTTTAATCATCACAAAACATAGGTAACATAGGGTCATTTGTGTTGTTCTATACCCTTGGCAACCAGAGAGCTGAAACTAGAGCCATGATGTCACTGAGATTTCGTTAGAGATATACAAATGGAATTTAGTTCTTTTGATGAAGGGAACTCATTAAAATCATGAAACATGTTTAAGCAGCTTCACAGGTGACATTTTGGCAGGATATGTAGTAGCGCAACGAGATTCAGTTCATAAATCCCGAAATAAGCAGTTCTCCGACATGGTAGCAGCTGGAGAGCGGCAAGGATTATCAGGTTCGCTGACACGGTATATTATTCTAATTTGGGTAAATAAGTATATACTCATATTTAGGTCGGTGTTACATGACATCTTGTATTGGTTCTATTGGTACTGAGGTCAGAATTACAGTGTAGTCTATACGTATTCTGTTGGCACTGAGGTCAGGGTTACAGTGTTCCCTGTACTGGTTCTACTGGTACTGAGGTCAGGGTTTTTTACAGTGTATCCTATACGTGTTCTGTTGGTACTGAGGTCAGGGTTACAGTGTATCCTATACTTGTTTTGTTGGTACTGAGGTCAGGGTTACAGTGTATCCTATACTTGTTCTGTTGGTACTGAGGTCAGGGTTACAGTGTATCCTATACTTGTTCTGTTGGTACTGAGGTCAGGGTTACAGTGTATCCTATACTTGTTCTGTTGGTACTGAGGTCAGGGTTACAGTGTATCTTATACTTGTTCTGTTGGTACTGAGGTCAGGGTTACAGTGTATCCTATACTTGTTCTGTTAGTACTGAGATCAGGGTTACAGTGTTACTTGTACTGGTTCTACTGGTACTGAAGTCAGGGTTACAGTGTATCGTGTACATGTTCTGTTGGTATTGAGGTCAGGGTTACAGTGTATCCTATACTTGTTCTGTTGGTACTGAGGTCAGGGTTACAGTGTATCCTATGCTTGTTCTGTCCGTACTGAGGTCAGGGTAACAGTGTATCACGTACATGGTCTGTTTGCACTGAGGTCAGGGTTACAGTGTATCCTATGCTTGTTCTGTTGGTACTGAGGTCAGGGTTACAGTGTAAGCTATACTTGTTCTGTTGGTACTGAGGTCAGGGTTATAGTGTATTCTATGCTTGTTCTGTTGGTACTGAGGTCAGGGTTACAGTCTATCCTATACTTGTTCTGTTAGTACTGAGGTCAGGGTTACAGTGTTACTTGTACTGGTTCTACTGGTACTGAAGTCAGGGTTACAGTGTATCGTGTACATGTTCTGTTGGTATTGAGGTCAGGGTTACAGTGTATCCTATACTTGTTCTGATGGTACTGAGGTCGGGGTTACAGTGTATCCTATGCTTGTTCTGTCCGTACTGAGGTCAGGGTAACAGTGTATCGTGTACATGTTCTGTTTGCACTGAGGTCAGGGTTACAGTGTATCCTATGCTTGTTCTGTTGGTACTGAGGTCAGGGTTACAGTGTATCCTATACTTGTTCTGTTGGTACTGAGGTCAGGGTTACAGTGTAAGCTATACTTGTTCTAGTGGTACTGAGGTCAGGGTTACAGTGTATTCTATGCTTGTTCTGTTGGTACTGAGGTCAGGGTTACAGTGTATCCTATGCTTGTTCTGTTGGTACTGAGGTCAGGGTTACAGTGTAAGCTATACTTGTTCTACTGGTACTGAGGTCAGGGTTACAGTGTATTCTATGCTTGTTCTGTTGGTACTGAGGTCAGGGTCACAGTCTATCCTATACTTGTTCTGTTAGTACTGAGATCAGGGTTACAGTGTTACTTGTACTGGTTCTACTGGTACTGAGGTCAGAGTTACAGTGTATCCTATACTTGTTCTGTTGGTACTGAGGTCAGGGTTACATTGTATCCTATGCTTGTTCTGTCCGTACTGAGGTCAGGGTAACAGTGTATCGTGTACATGTTCTGTTTGCACTGAGGTCAGGGTTACAGTGTATCCTATGCTTGTTCTGTTGGTACTGAGTTCAGGGTTACAGTGTATCCTATACTTGTTCTGTTGGTACTGAGGTCAGGGTTACAGTGTAAGCTATACTTGTTCTAGTGGTACTGAGGTCAGGGTTACAGTGTATTCTATACTTGTTCTGTTGGTACTGAGGTCAGGGTTACAGTGTATCCTATGCTTGTTCTGTTGGTACTGAGGTCAGGGTTACAGTGTAAGCTATACTTGTTCTACTGGTACTGAGGTCAGGGTTACAGTGTATTCTATGCTTGTTCTGTTGGTATTGAGGTCAGGGTTACAGTGTATCCTATGCTTGTTCTGTTGGTACTGAGGTCAGGGTTACAGTGTAAGCTATACTTGTTCTACTGGTACTGAGGTCAGGGTTACAGTGTATTCTATGCTTGTTCTGTTGGTACTGAGGTCAGGGTTACATTGTATCCTATGCTTGTTCTGTTGGTACTGAGGTCAGAGTTACAGTGTAAGCTATACTTGTTCTGTTGGTACTGAGGTCAGGGTTACATTGTATCCTATACTTGTTCTGTTGGCACTGAGGTCAGGGTCACAGTGTTCCCTGTACTGGTTCTATTGGTACTGAGTTCAGGGTTACAGTGTATTCTATACTTGTTCTGTTGGCACAGAGGTCAGGGTTACAGTGTATCCTATACTTGTTCTGTTTGTACTGAGGTCAGGGTTACAGTGTATCCTATACTTGTTCTATTTGCACTGAGGTCAGGGTTACAGTGTTTCTTGTACTGGTTCTACTGGTACTGAGGTCGGGGTTACAGTGTATCTTGTGTTGGTAATTGTTTTGGGGCAGGGTATCATAGTAACATGGTATCTTGTTTTGGTTCTATTGGTACTGAGGTCAGGGTTACAGTGTATCGTATTTGAGTCCTATTGGTATTGGGGTCAGGGTTATATGATATCTTGTTTTGGTTCTATTGGTACTGAGGTCAGGGTTACTCGGTATCTTGTTTTGGTTCTATTGGTACTGAGGTCAGGATTACATGGTATCTTGTGTTGGTTCTATTGGTATTGGGGTCAGGATTACATGGTATCTTGTTTTGGATCTACTGGTACTGATGTCAGGATTACATGGTATCTTGTTTTGGATCTACTGGTACTGATGTCAGGATTACATGGTATCTTGTTTTGGTTCTATTGGTACTGAGGTCAGGGTTACATGGTATCTTGTTTTGGTTCTTTTGGTACTGAGGTCAGGATTACATGGTATCTTGTTTTGGTTCTACTGGTACTGAGGTCAGGGTTACATGGCATCTTGTTTTGGTTCTACTGGTATTTGGGTCAGGGTTAAAGGATTGCAGAGTTACAGGGTATATTGTATTGGTTCTATTGGTATTGGGGTCAGGGTTAAAGGGTTACAGGGTATATCGTATTGGTTTCACTGTATTGGGATCAGGGTTATTGGGGTCAGTATATCAGTACAGTGTATCTGGTATTTGTTTTACTGATATTGGGGACATGGTTGGCGGTATCTGGTAATTGTAGAATGATTTGTCTGCAGGTGGTTATTTTACGTTGCGCAATTACGTTACTCAATTTGTCTTCTACATACGTTTTCTATTGTTTTGGGAGGTTTTCAATATATATTTTGTGTATGTACTTTAGGTTTTACTAACTGATCAGTGATAAGTAAGACATGTATTGTTGGGAGTCAAACTGTACCCTGAAGCATGTGAACAGCTATAGCTGCATCACCATCAATATCTCCAAGACGGACGTGATGTCAGTCAGTGACTAAGGAATCATGAGACGAGTGTGTTATGGAATATAGTTTATTGTGTAGCTACAGCTTCACACAACACCTCAAATACACACAAGATACTAGTATTCATTATCACAGAGCAAAGGACAAACAGTAATATTGCAAGTCTTCAAATCTTCAAGTCCTGCAAATCTTCACCCACGGAATGCTCCGTCGTCACTAATCACATTTGTGCTAATTTCATGATTCCTAATCTAGAATGTGTTTACGGGTGCACACTCCACACTTCTTATCTATAGAAACAACTACCATGTAATCAGACCCGGTCGTTCCTTCTACTCCACCTGTGAACTAAACCTTATCAAACGTCGACCATTCGAGTCATTGGTTTACATTCCTCCATTGATGTAACTTACTTCAACCCACAGGGTATATACAATCCAGTGTCAGCCTCTTTTGTGTCAATATAGGAATACTTCTGTCCCTACGGCGATGTTCGAATAATCAAGGTGGCACTGTTGGCTTTTGAAAAATACACCCTTTCATCTTTTTTAATATATCGTGTATGAAAATTAATTCTCGTAAAACTCTTTACACATATAATTCCCTGTATTGTTCTATATACATTTGTTTTGTATGAAACAAAGAGAGAAGCGGCAACTATATAGAAGAAAGGTGCATGTCCAACTCTTATTGCATTGTTTCGTATGTGAAATACGGTTGGAGAATGGTGGTAGTTGTATTGTCTCTGAATAAGAAGAATGGTATATAGTTTGTATTCAGACGAAGGTCCAACTCCACAACCGTAGGTAGACAGTTTACAATCAACATAGTATCACACCTGGATTTCCCCTGCATATGCTGCTACAAGGATGATGATGCCAAAGCCTATCATCAAACCAAGAAGCTGTAGAAACGATAAAAAGATGGCCCCCGTCCCCTCTTTCAGTGCCTTGTCAACAGCATGGCCCATTTCTGGAATCTGTGGAGGAGAAAGAAAATCAACATTATTCATGGAACAAATTCAAAGTGCTTATGACTGATCTTCAAATAAATTTTAATGACCACAAAGGGTTGACATATTTTGAAACTGGTTGGGCTATTATGTATTGGCGAATTGTTTGTTCTCTACGATGTATACAGATTGCTCACGCTCGTACCATGTCAGCAAGAGGAACATAAATGAATATGCCTCCTGCTATTGCAAATATCCACTGGTTTGCAGAAGTCGTCTCGCCTACAAAGATGCCCACAATGAGACCTGGGATCCCCATAGCGGCTGACAAAGTGTTGTATGTTAAGGCCTGCTTCATCGTCATCCCCGAGTGCAGTAGGATCGACACATCGCCTGCCGTTATACAGTACATGTTAGTTCGTGCACATAGGTAGATATTTGTTGAAATTGCAGGTTTGATTACTGGAGAATTCTTTGCTTTAAATCTGAGATAATGAAAGAACTCACTTGGTAGAAACCTCAACAAACCACGCAAAACAAGTCCAAATGAAAAGAAAGTCATGCGATCAAGGATATCAGTAGACTGGGTTAATAGGAAAGATATTCCAAAACATTGACGAATCTGTACATTTGGGTTATGTATGTCTACAACAGGTTGTAGAATGTGTTAATGATGCACTCGTGTCTAGATGCTCTACATCTCCCTTCTAGAAAGTAGCTGTACATGAGTGAGTGAAATGGGTTTAACGCCGCTTTAAAGAGTATTTCAGTTACATTATGGACCGGCAAGTTAATGCGGGAGGAAAGCCCGAAGTCTTACAGGTCTTAGATATTTACCCACGGGTCTGGTTCTGACAAGCCTAGAAAAATAATCAGGGCGAACCGAGATTCGAACCCACCGCACGCAACTCTGCACAGCGAATTGCCCGCCTTAGACAACTGGCCACCCAGGCCCACTCCCTCTGATAAACCTGATCTTTGTGATAGTAGACATCCTGATAAAGGACATCTTGATAAAGGACATCCTGACAGTGGACATTCCTGCCATGGATATCCAGATGAAGCAGACCATGACATATAAGGACATACCTAGCTCATGAGGTAGTTCTTCACACAGCACGGAGATTGCTAAACTGAGACCAGTGGTGATGTTTTCCGTGAAAGCTGCGCCGACAGACAAACCGTCCACGAATTTGTGTATAGCATCCCCTAGGAGAACCATCCACGCCACGGCAGCTATCTGCTGTGTCACTTTCTCGGAGTCTGCTTCAACATCGCTCGTCTTCCTGCTTTTAACCCCGTTACTGCTGTCGTGTTTGCCGTCGTGTGTGCTGCCGTTGCTTTTCCCGTTCCCTATCACGGTAGTGGTTACAGCAACAGGTAGGTCACTTGAGTTGGAGTCCGTGTCCTCGCTGGACGATGTCGTGCTCATGGTGACTGTGCTCCCGACCTCCACCGAGATCTCCGCCATTGTCCTCTCTTTAGCAGACTGAAGAACACAATGTGAATCCACTAGATGAATGAACACAAGAATTTATGTCACATTAAATATTGTTTCGGTATGCAGTAGGATCAATGATCTGAATGATTTGCTTTCATGAAAGACAGACTTGTAGTTTGTGTGATACACTAGGTATAGGCGTTTCTTGGCGTTGGCATTCCTACCTTTATTTGGTGAAATGATATCTTCAGTATTCGCTCGAGCAGAAGAACAAAGATGATCCCCCCGAGCACGGAGCAGGCCTTCCACAGGTACGTGTCCTTGGTCTCCTCTATGTACATCAGGTGCATGGACTACAACACAACACACACTCATCAGCGACATAAGCGCAAAGTAGAAATGACTCCATACCTTCAAATTATGTGGGTAAATGAATGGTATTTAACACATTTTTGTCCTGATGGTTCCAGATTTCTACTGGTTACATGTAACTCGGGAAGACCTACCTCCGGTATGAGTACGACTATGCCGGCTCCAGCCTGTGTGCCTATAGCAATTGCCACAAGGAACATGAGCAGTTTCTGGAAGAAGGTGGAGTTCATCAGTGGCGTGAGGAAAGCCCCGAGGTTGGAGATGAGACACACAGTGAGAACTACGCCGAGGCCGTAACCCCATGCTGTGTGGACAAATAACATTAGAGATGAGACACACAGAGAGCACAACGCCGAGGCCGTAACCCCATGCTGTGTGGACAAAAAAACATTAGAGATGAGACACACAGAGAGCACTACGCCGAGGCCGTAACCCCATGCTGTGTGGACAAAAAAACATTAGAGATGAGACACACAGAGAGCACTACGCCGAGGCCGTAACCCCATGCTGTGTGGACAAATAACATCAGAGATGAGACACACAGAGAGCACTACCTCACGTCCAAGAATCATAAATACTGAGTGACTTAGCGGTATCTTTACGTTTACTTTTTGTACCTTCTGCATCTGTAGGTTTGCGAGGTCCTTCGTCTTCTGATGCGGAGTCGGCGAGCTGTAAAGCGCGGCAGTGGTCTTCCTCTAAGGCAATGACAATAGCCGGCAGCGCGTGTAGCAGGGACGATGAGTTAATACGGGCATCCAAAGCGTATGTGTTGAACACATCTTCACTGCGAACACACTCCACCTATATTCAAGGACGGATGGCATGTTATTCGTGAATATCACAGTTGGGTAGGAACTCGATTGTCATAACTAAACTAGGAAACCCAAATTGTTCAATGACGGTTTATCCCCTGATGTCTATACCATACGTGCTATGTTCAGTTTAGACCAATGACGTTTCACGTTCACCGTCACCGTATCGTTGTTGTATAAATGACGAATAATTAAAAATAACATTCCACACCTTCTGGTTCAGTAGTTACAGAAGAAGAGAATAGGCTGACTGGTGGGCATAGGCTGATAGACACTAACTTGTTAAAATGCAATCTGTTTCACTTGCTGTAATAACTCTTGTGTTGATTAATCAACTTTATGTTATGGCATCATTTTACATGATCCCGATTAAGGTTGAGACGAGTACCCTCAAAGCGGAAACTAAACTTGATATTATGACGTCATTCGATATTTCAGTGTATGTGAGTGAGTTAGTTAGCTTAATGCCGCTTTGAATAGTATTTCAGTTGTATCACGGCGTGTTTGGTTGATGAGGTAGGAATTCCCGAAGTGGTGCCTATATTCTATCAACAACAATAGCTTTTGGTCTCAGTGGTGGCAGGTAGTAACATGTGAAGGAAGATTAAGGTCTGGCGGTACAATGTGGCGATTCGCCAGCTTGGTGAGACACGGTGAAGTGGACGTTTCAGAAAAGGAAACATCCAAGTATGTGGAGAGGCCCGACTGTAGCGTCTCGTTCCATCATCACATTTTCAAATTCAACATTTTACTCGCACATGTAATTTATTCGTTATGTGCACGATCATATGCTATTCTTTCATATGTGCATGTTCATACGCTATTCGTTCATATATGCACGATCATATGCTATTCGTTCATTTGTGCATGATCATATACAATTCGTTCATATGTGCATGTTCATATGCTATTCGTACTACATATATCCACATTATTTAATTCTTAGCTTAGCGACCGTTACAGTAAACCAAAAAAGTATTTAACAAAATGAAGAAAATGGAATTGTGAAATAGGTTACAGTGGGAGAAAATGGGGACATCACATTTAATAGCTGAATTAATGTATGCAAATAAATGTCCTAGCTCTATAATGTGCTATTTGAAGGTTGAAATATTGTTCGCACTCGAAAAATGGTAAAGTCTGGGTTATTGTGAAATAATGCCACACGAGACGGCTCTGTGATGTGTTCTTCCTGTTCCAGGTGACATTAATCTGTGTTTTACTACGTTAAGGTAATACCCATCTATTAAATAACAGGAGGTATGACGTCACATATGTCGTCGCTCTGCACGTGTCCTAACTCAGTCCTGGCAGGCGAGGTGAGCACTGAACATACACTTTTTCTACTTGTCAAACTCCTGACAGAAGAGTTGTAAACCTTCTTACAAACAAGTGACCTGTGAATCTAACTATTGCCGTGTTTTCTGGCTCGCGAATAGACATGCATATTAATCTGTATTTAAATCTAACTATGCAATAAGGTTACATGTATTCTTTTCTCTGTTTCAAACTGCAGTTACAACAACTTACTGGTGACCAAGACCACCGTTGTTAACTTTTGTTTTGACGGGGTGTGAGGGGTGTGGTGGCGGTGTGTGGTGGGGGTGGGTGGGGTGAATATCTGTAGAAGTATCAAGTGTCCCCAACTTGTATTTTCATGATTCAAATAAAACTGTTTTCTATAGAAATCCCTCCCCTCCCTCCCCGACCCCCCACCCCGGCTGGCTACGGCACTGGTGACCACCTTTAGATACTCGCTACGCTGGAAGAACACACAACCATTTTAAATCGTTATAGACGTTTCATCATATTTCGTAAATAAGCTATCAGTACCCATTATATTACGTGTACCATGTCCATGCAGTCAGTGCAGAGAGATCAACACATGTCAGAACACAAGAGAAAAATATTGTGTGTTTTCGGAAAAGAAAGAAAGATAATTTCCTAACAGGGTTACGATGTTTGTGCATAAACAAAAATATGGAAACTGAAATACGGGTCAGGAAACATTGGAAGGTGGTCCACACAAAGTAGAGGAGGCGTGGTTATAAGAGTACAACAGGGCAATTGTTTCAGATATGACGTGTATTGTGTAGCATGTGTGTGCATCGGTAGTCTTGCATATTCATAACCCTAAGCATGAGTGGAGAATACAAGAGAGCTAGGTCATCCTGGAGGTTATACCCACAATGCATCATAAGGACATGCCTCCAGCTCATGACATCTTGACACTCTAAGGTCATGGTCACCGAGATGGTATTGATATATCTGTTTGGAACTTTTTATTCCCGAAGTTCATGAGTACTGCGTGTTTACGTCGGGCGCACATATACAGCCTAATGCCATTGCTTGACGCGTGCTACACAAACATACCTACATACAGCTAATGCCATTGCTTGACGCGTGCTACACAAACATACCTACATACAGCCTCATGCCATTGCTTGACGCGTACTACACAAACATACCTACATACAGTCTAATGCCATTGCTTGACGCGTGCTACACAAACATGCCTACATACAGCCTAATGCCATTGCTTGACGCGTGCTACACAAACATACCTACACACCAATCCTGACTACAGATTACTATGGTATATGGTAGTCGAAAAATAAAATAATATTAGCATTGTTGATAAGTGCTTTTTCGGTCAAAGACCATAAGACATATATTCCATCTTACCACTAGTTTGCAATAGGTCTGCCGTCTACTGTGAATGTGTTTTACATCACTGTCTGTGACTTAGTACAGTGTACATGTACAACAGCCATGTACTTTGATTGAGTATGTGTTCAAGCTGACCGTGGAAAATGAAACATTTACAATTTACTGTTAAGTGTTTTGTATCAGTTTAACTTTATACATTCATGGTATATGAACCTGTGTAGCCATTTAAAAGAAATAAACCCTTTTAATATACTAAAAGTATACAGGAAGGTCAGTGCATTTGGTTTTACTTCGCTTTTAACAATAATAAAGTCCGGCCAGCTTAGTGTCGGAAGAAAGTCCGAAGTGATGCAATCATTAGACGTTTACCAGTTTGGTGAGACCCATAAATACGAGCGTGGTTCTGATCACAGAACCAATAATCAGAGTTAATTTGGGATTCTAACCCAAATTTATAGGATTCTGGCACGCCTAAGGAACGCAACTCTTCACAAGGAATTGCGAGCCTTACATGCCCCAGCTAACTTTCATACCCACTATGAGAGAAACGTACACTATACAGATTATGCACATGCTGTTAGTTTCATTAACAGATATATTTGTTCATTTCCTATCTTAGTTTTCGAAATAAGTAATTGAAAGTATTCATCTGCAGTGTTACTTTAAGCATTAACTGTTGTACGTGGAGCGCAATAGAGCCCATTCGCATTTGTTCCAAGGTTTCGTCATGTTAGTCAAACCTCACCTCTTTCGCAAACGAAAAGAGACTTCGCGGAGAACTTAATAGACGTGTAGGAGTTGTTTGACTTACCTGTCCGCAGGTGGTGTTTGCGGTGTTGTTTAGAACTGTGTTGCACCAATCAGCATCCCTGAGAGCCTCATCCTCCGACCCCAGGATTCCATCCGTGTCCAAATTCTGCTTCACGTGCAACTTGAGACTACTGAACAGAGCGTGGAACTCGTCCCTAGTTAAGGAGCTACTGGAGGAGTACTTGGAGATGAGAGTGTCTGCATTCAACAAGGGTGAGAAGCCACCAACCAAAGCCGTCGACGATGCCGCAGGGACAACAAGGAGGAGCAGCAACAACGACATCATACTGCTAGCTGGAGGGAGGAGTGGGGGCACAGCGTGTTGGTAGTGCGACTGTTCACTGCGACGACAACCCGCTAACTACGTATAGCCGAGTGTGACAGCTACTTTAATACCAGCAACTTCTTTATGATGAGACATGACGTTTGCGACTGCAGTACAAATTTAAAGCCTGCGCATACATGGTTTGTCCAATCACCTGCCTTCTACATGGTATCTCCCCGCACTCAGATACCACAGTGGACACGGAGATGATTTATTCCCTACTTGTTGTTGTAGCCTGATTTGCTTACACTGTCATCGCTTCACCCTGACAGCGCCACACCAAAACCCCATCGACACACTGACACACTGCTGAAATTTCTAGTCACAATGAAATCAATCTTCAGGGTGAATGAAAACTTCAAACTGGTAATTGTTGTTATTTAACCTTCATTATACAACAGATTATAATTACATAGTGTAGGACCCTACTTCAATCTAGGACATACACTCACTTCAGAGTTAATACAAATATGTAAGTTGACAGGCGTGTGTTTTGCTGGCCCTCATGTACAGGTGCATATAATATTTAGCAGTTGGTAGAGTGGGATACGTACAATCGATTGTGCTTTTAGCAAAATTTTCTTATGAATATGGTGAGGTTTTTTTAATAAATAATAAGCAAACTGTTAACTGTTGGGAGTCATAGTTTAGCGCGATGCGATGTAGACAGTTGATGCTACAGAATGAGGTTACTGAAGTGAGAGTTCGTTCGAGCAGTATCACCCCAAAACCTTCTTCATGTCAAAACTTCCAAAGACTTAAACTTTAACATGTCTAAACTTCAACAAATTAAAACTTTTACATGTCAAAATTTTTACGTATCAAAACTTCTACATGCCAAAACCTCCAAAGACTTAACTTTTACATGTCTAAACTTCAACAAACTAAAACTTGTACATGTCAAAATGTCTACATGTCAAAATTTCTACGTATCAAACATTCTACATGTCAAAATTTCTGCAGACTAAAACTTCTACATGTCAAGTCAAGTCAAAGATACATATTGCATTTTAGGCCTTCGACCCAAATAGAAATGTGTAACATATGTGTTACATATAAGTAGTTTTTCATATTCGGTAATATATATATATATATAAAGCACTTTTCTGGTTGAATAAGACACTTAAAAGTTCTAAACAAGTCATACCTTTAACTGTTTTCTAGAATGGAATGCCATTCTTGGTAAAATATATTTATAGATCGTTCACGAAATTGTTTCGAAAAGAGTTTAACTTTACCAACTGTTTGGTTAACCACACGAAGCCGTAGCCTTGAGAGAACAAAACATTTCTAATACGTGATGCCGATGTTACTTTGCCCATGTCATCTAATGTACAAGCATATTATAAGCAAGTTTGGGGATTCGGCGTTCATGCATTACAAGAATATGAAACCAGTATTTTAAGCATCTAATTTGGGAGTTGATATATAACGGGTATCCGCCACACTCGCCATAGACAATACAATTGGGAGTTTATGGACCAACGGATAAGACATTTTTACAGATGTAGCTTTTTGAGACAATAGTATCGATGAAATCCCCATACTTCTGATCCTTATAACAGGATTGGTTGGATTTGGGCATCAAACAAATAAAAATATATATTCGACGTAAAAGGTCCAACTTTCTGCGTGAAAAACATTATTTGATTTGAGGCCTTCTTTGCACGTGATGTTAAATCCGAAACACTTTCCTGAAGTTCATTGTATAGGTAAACATAACACCAAGTTATGTATAATGATTCAGAACATTAACACATTTACAAAAGAAGAAATATCTTTCATTCCATACCACCTGAACCCCTCTTCTGAAAATAACAATGTTTGTTTTATCGTAATTACCTGAAAATTTCCACTCTTTGGTGTAACATTCTAAACAGTTTAGTTAGTTTTTTTTTGTAGTCAAGTAACAGAATATGACAAATAATATGACATCATCGTCAAAAGAAGCATAACAATTTCTATCACATCTGGGAACATTTGAATACCATGTTTACTGTTAGCCATACTTTCATAATACAATTCTCTAAAACAAAATGAGAACAATATCGAAAGCCAAAAGTACATTCAAAGAAATCGATTACATTGTCACCACATCGTACACATGATCTGATATTTGAATACAAAGCTTTTAATACAGATTACATTTTCCCCCGCAGACCAGTAGTTCTTAAACACTGCCTTATAGTTTATAATGATCAACGGAGTCAAAAGCCTTTTAAAAAGCGACAAAGACTACGTACACTTTGTGTTTACGACGTGATAGACATTTTTTGATTGTTGCATGAAATGTGAAAATATGATCTGAGGTTAAGTTAATCTTTCTAAAACCAGCTTGAGTTTCGGGAATCTTATCTCGCATATTAGCCCAATTCGTAATCCTGGAATTAAGTACCGATGTAAAAGTCTTTCCAAGAATACTCATTAAGGATGATCCCCTATAGTTGTCTGGGTTGTTAAAAACTCATTTCTTAAGTATTGATATAATTACCGAAAACGAGCAGCTACTGGGCAACTGTCAAACATCCAACTGAAATATTTGTGAAGAAAAGGCATCATCTAAAATTTGGAACATTTTATCATTTCAACCACAATATGGTCATGACCAACACGTTTGTCCACTTTATAGGCGCATTATGGGCGTCCAGAATTACATCCTGTGATATGGGTGTTTTGTCAACATCAGTATAACGTGAGTGACTGAGTATGTTTTTACGCCGCTTTTAGCAATATTCCAGCAATATCACGGCGGGGGGCACCAGAAATGGGCTTCACACATTGTACCCATGTCGGGAATCGAACCCGGGTCTTCGGCGTGACGCGTGAACGCTTTTACCACTAGGCTCCCCGACCGCCCCCAGTTACCATGAAGAGGAAACATCAAGAATAATGTCAAACACATCACTGTCAGTGTTGAACACAGTGTCATTTGAAAAAAACAAACTTTTATAAAATGAATTAACCACTCAGCACTTTGAGAAACTATCTTTTCTGTCTGATTGTTTTTCACGTGAACGTATTTGTTTGGATAGTATGACTGAGTTTTGGTAGCCTAAATTTACATAAGTCAGATTTGTTTTCCTACAGCAGGATTTGTACGTGCATTCATACCACCACAAATAACTGTGTAAGAATCACTCATTTCTGAAAGGTTTTCTAATAAGAACTCATGAAGCAGTTGAATGTTACATTTCGAGTTACTATTGTTATAATATGGCGACCCAGGCAGTGGGATTAAAGAACATATCAAAATTTTGTTTCTGTCAGCCGAGAACAACTTTTTGCTAGTTTAATGCCCAAAAGGTTATCAATGTCTGATGTTATTAACCTGTAAAAAGTACTAATTTAATGATGGATACATATGCAAAAGCCCCTGAGAGACGACCATAATTTGATTACGAGGCTGTAGAAGACAACATAACCATCTAACTAATTAATGTCTGACATATAATATATAAATGTTTCTACAAGACACACTTTTTGGAATTTGCTTAGGTCAGAGGTCGCCGTCATCCACTTGTTTACTCAATCCATTCACATTGCAACACAAAAAAGTAAGCTCTTTACTTTCACTCACAATAACGCTTATAAAATCGATCGTGTTACCGGTGTCTGTTTTATTACATCCATGTGATATATGGAAGTTGCCTATTCGACGATGTTTCAATTTCAGCTTGAGTGAGTTTCACGAGGTTTCACGTTTTTCTTAAGCACGCGTCAAGCTTACAGTGCTCGTCTGACATCAGAAGTTTGGCAATTACAGGGCGTGTTTTCTCCGCTTTTCGGCGTTCTATTCCAAGACGACGGGCACGGATAACGTCAGTTGATAGTCACGTTTTAAACGTAAAGTGTTCATTAGAAACTGACATCACCGTTTCCTTGCTAGCCATCGATTTCTCACCTTTTAACACCATGGAGAATGACATTATCATTTCCGCTAAAGGAATCCAGTTTGTCAATATCGTCATCAATCTTTGATAATGACGTTCTACGAAAGTTTCAATATTTTATCATAAAACAGCCTCAATGTCAGTATACATGATGTCATGATTGTGTTTCAAGTTGTGAATATCAGATTTGATAAATGTTACTTATACCTCAAGTTGATCACTTTTAGAGTTGATTGCGTTCACTTCACTGTTTAAAGATGAGCTTTTCGACCTTAATTCCGACTTGAAGACGCGTAGCTCCGACAAGTTAGCATCTCTTACTTCTTGCAGAGAGATTGTTCCCGGGTAAGTTTTATAGTCCTTCGAACACAACATGATCTCTGTGATACCCCCAACGGGCAGCACGTCGACACCGTGACGACACCTCACGTGCAAGCCAGGCGTGGTAATTTGACAAAACTGGGTCATAGTCCATCGCAGTGACGTCACATGATACACAGAAAGAGCTATTTTCTTTTGAAAAATACCGATCAAAGTTCATTTCTGGAAATGGTTGAGTAGGGCGAAGGATGCAGAGAGGTGTACAGCAAATGTAATAGTGCAAATGAGCAGTCTGAAATGAACATCAGTCCAAGACACGAATGGCGAGTACTCACTGTCTCTGTGCAGTGTCACTTGTCGGGTTCCCCTCGGATGGATAAATTTCCGATTCTGGCTCAACATTTTGTTGTCAGGAGTGTTGATCATATCCCCTAGCATTGGCAGTGTAGTATCTGCTTTCAACCTTGTCAATATTTCTGCAGACTAAAACTTCAACAGGCTAAAACTTCTACTTGTTAAAGTTTCTACAGACTAAGACTTATACATGTTAAAACGTCTACATGTTAAAACTTCGACAAGTTAAAACTTCAACAGACTAAAATTTGGACATGTTAAAACTTCAAGAGACTAAAACTTCAAAGGACAAAAACCTCTACATGTTAAAACTTCTACATGTTAAAACTTTTACAGTCTCAAACTTCTACACGTTAAAAGTTAGGAGACTAAAACTTCTACAGACTAAAACTTCAACAGACTGAAACTGCTACAGACTTCTACAGACTAAAACTTCTACATGTTAAAACTTCAAGAGACAAGAACGTCTACATGTTAACACTTCTACAGACTAATACTTCTGCATGTGAACACGTCTAAATGTTAAAACG